GGGGAAGGGGGGGGCAAACGGTCAAACGACAGCCGATTTGGCTCAATGAGTCCTGGACGAAGCGTCAGGTTTCTGAATCAGAGATGGGCCAATCCAATTTAGCGCCTTGCCGCCGCGGAATGGAGCCGCAGTACGAGCAACGTCAAATGCATTATCTGACCTTGCCCGAGCCAGTGCGGGCGTTGCGATGAGTGGTCGGCAGTCGCAGTCACACAAATCGGAGACGTAAAATGCGCAGCCCTACCCCCCCCCCCCCCCCCCCCCCCCCCCCCCCCCCATTTTTGTCAATCCACGCTGGATCAGGGCCGTCGTTTACCAGATCTCTGGATCGGGTTGGTTCATTTGACCATAACAATCTTGACTTAAAGCTTTCTTGAGTGCAGGAATTCATATTCATTTGGGTCTTTCGGTAAAGTCACGTAGATAGGTTAAAAGAAAATAACAATAAACTGCGTTTCGATCACAACACAAGCGATCGTCATCATTGTGTTGTGATCGAAACGTCGTAGTTTTTTGTTATATTTTTGTAACCTATCTACGTGATTTTACCGAAAGACCCAAATAATTTGACCGTAACAATTGAGCCCGCTGGTCAGTGCGCTTTGGTGCAGGCGGGCAGCGGAGACGTGGGAACTCGCAATCACAGCACAACTGTTGACTTTGCTGTACTGCCCTCTGCTGCCCGTAACGTAGCTCCCACCACTCCACCACCACTCCACCACCCCGCCACTCCACCAACTAACCCACCACCCACCACCCACCACCCACCAACTCACCACCCCACCACCCACCACCTCATCACCCCACCAACCCACCACCTCACCACTACACCACTCCACCACCCCACCATCTCCCCACTATACCACTCCACCACCCCACCAACCCACTACCCCACCACCTCACCACTCCACCACTCCATCACCCCACTACCTCACCACTCCACCACTCCACCACCCCACCAACCCACCACCCCACCACTCCACCATCCCACTACCTCACCACTCCACCACTCCACTACCCCACCACTCCACCACTCAACCACCCCACCACTCCACCATCGCAGCCTACGGCATGCCACATGCTATGGTAAATGGACCAAAGGCGAAGAGGAGTGGGCCAAGACCCAAGGAGAAAGAGGTCCGCGCTGCTTGACATTTACACCGCGCGAGACACAGAGAGGATAACACTTGGCCCAGAGAACAAAATCGCGAATCGAGAGGACAACATCCGAGACCGTTGCGGGAACTAAAGTCGCCTCGGGCAGGACGCGACGAGACTGGTATCGGAATGGCACGCAACGGAGGGGACGCTCCTGAGTGCGAGCGATAGGAAGGTCAGCTCGTGTGCGGGAAGGCGCGAGGATGGATTGGTGGCATCGCGGGTGCCGTGAAGGGTGGCGACGGCGTTGGGGAGGTCTTCATCCAGCAGCGGACAGACCGTGGCTCTGGATGACTGACTGATGACGAGTATTATATATAATAAAAGGCACGGAGGAGGTGGGCGTGCGAATAGCGCAGAAGCCACCAGGACTTGCCGCAGAAGGAGGTGAGCCATTAACGAGGTTGAAACCATTAACGAGGTTAAAGACAAAGGCGTATCGAAAGGCAGCCTGCATTGCGTGGTGACACCGCTCTGGCGGCTGACGCACAAGCACACACACCAAGAATAACTCTACGCATTCGGCGACAGCGCTGCTCTCAAGTGAGATGTACAATAGGCGACGTTTCGGGCACTGGGCCTTCTTTCTCCGCAGAAAACGTATCGAGCTGTGAGCAATTTATTAAATTGCGAAGCTGCGTTACATAAGGTGCTCCCCACCCCACCCCACACCCTCTACTCGCGAGTTATCAAATCTGGAGCGCCTCTCTCATCATCATCCTCATCCTGATCCTCACCCTGATCACCACCATCACCAGTGGAGCTCGGATAGCAGCAGCAGCAACGCCGGGCTCGAGTAAGCGCCGCGTGTCCCGCGCTAGAACCGGACTCTCAGGAGGCGCATCCGTCAGGTTTCAGCAGCCGAGTGCTTTAAGCAATTCCGCATCAATTACAGCGCGTTCGATGGGATTTATCAATTATTATTATTATTATGGACCTACGTCCCCGGTTGTGCTGTGTGCCTGTGCGTGCGTGTTGATGCGCGTTGATGTGTGTCTGAACGTCCTTTGTTGTTGAATGTGGCAGTGGAAGTGTAACGGTTAGCGCTACGCCGCGCTCCGAACCTCTACGATCCGAGTTCGATTCCCGCTCACGGCCTACACCGGTGACGATGATCTGAACCGGTTCCTGGCCTCCCCTAGGTTGACTTAGCCTCAAATGAGTACCCGGTGCGGTTTGTAAACATCGCCACTGGGGAGACAAAGGCGGTCGGGCGTGGTGCTGGCCACCCACCCCCTCGTGTGCCATGCCGGCCTTCATAGGTATACGCTCGCTAACAGCACTTGCCCGAACAGTCCATCAAGGCTATACGTATACGAGGGATCTTTGTCTTTGTAGCTTGATTGGTGCTGTGTCTAATGTCTACGTGCATGTGTGTGTACGTGTGGCTGTGTTTATGTGCGTGTGTGTGTACGTGTGGCTGTGTTTATGTGCGTGTGTGTGTACGTGTATCTGTGACTATGTGCCTGTGTGTGTACGTGTAGCTGTCTACGTGCATGTGTGTGTACGTGTTGCTGTGTCTATGTGCATGTGTCTGTACGTGTAGCTGTGACTATGTACATGTGTGTACGTGTAGCTGTGACTATGTGCGTGTGTGTACGTGTAGCTGTGTCTATGTGCATGTGTGTGTACGTGTGGCTCTGTCTATGTGCATGTGTGTACGTGTGGCTGTGACTATGTGCGTGTGTGTGTACTTGTGGCTGTGACTATGTGCATGTGTGTGTACATGTGTCTGTGACTACGTGCGTGTGTGTGTACTTGTGGCTGTGACTATGTGCATGTGTGTGTACGTGTGTCTGTGACTACGTGCGTGTGTGTGTACGTGTAGCTGTGTCTATGTGCGTGTGTGTGTACGTGTGTCTGTGACTATGTGTACGTTTGGCTATGTTTAGATGTTTCTGTGTATACGTGTGTATCTCTTTGTGTTTTGTATCTGTTTGTTTATTTATGCACATGCTACTCATACAATGTGTACATACGATGTGTAATACTGTCTGGCTGTATTTGTTTTATCTTTTAATCGCACGTGTGTGTATACGTGTGTCTGTGACTACGTGCGTGTGTGTTGGTAGGTGCTTGTTCACACCACTTGTCCCAATCGTCTGTTGAAGGCGATATCGGGGATATTTGTTTTGTATTTCATGTCGGTATCTGTGTGTCTCTCCGTGTGCTTGTGTGTGTGTGGACACGTGTTTGTGTGCTTCTGTATACACGTCTGTGTGAATGTGTAAATTTGAGCGCATCTGTATGTGTGTGAAAATACACGTGTGTCTATGCACGCACGCCTGTGTGTGTGTGCCTGTATGTTAATATAACTGCGTGCGTTATTGTGTATGTGCATGTATCTGTTTACATGCATGCATACATCTGTACGTACGTACGCCTGCGTATCTGTACATCTGCGTGTCTCACGTCATCCATGGGTATGTGTGCGTGAGTGAGTGAGTGAGTATTGACATCGACACGAACGTGCCCACCCTCTGTATCTGCAAGGACGAGCGCATGCGGTACCTTGCGCGCAGAGGGCGCTTGGTAGTGGAGCTGTAATCGTAGCACCGCCTTGTCAGTGTCACCTCTTCGACGACACGCGACCTCGTCTCCAACAATAGCCAGCAGCGCGCGCCGCCGGCTGCCTCGCAATGTAAACAACAGCGACCGCCTCCTCGTCCATCCACGTGCTGCCTCCCCCTCGACCTCCTCCTCCTCCTCCGACTCAACCCGCTCTCGTCTCTGCCAAATATCTCTCTAACCCTCCTCCAAATTCACCGACGGCTTATTTCTCATCGCTGATGTCCTCTTCACCTGCTGCTGCTGCTGCTGCTCTCGCTGAACGTCAACACACCTGGCCGCGCGCACTTGCCGGCACGTCTCGGCTGCGCAGGCGATGCCAGCGCGATTTCGGAGCGCTCCTCTGCATTCGTGCGCGTGACCACGGGGCAGTGCCCACAGACGGCGGCGGCGGAGTGGCGGCGAAGACGGTGTGGGATAGCGGTGGCGGTGGTGGGAGCAGCAGGAGGAGGAGGATACCTCAAACAAGCAACGGTCCTCGTCCGCCGCATATCGAGCAGCGGTCACCGAAGCAGCCCGCGCGAGGCTGTTGCTGCTGTGAGACAGCGGCGGCAGCAGCAGCAGCAGGAGGAGGAGGCACAACCGCTCCCGCGTCGCGGGACGCGGCTGCCTGACCCCGAATTGGCATCAGTCAATTGACACGGGGCAGATGATGACCACCACCACCAGCAGCAGCGGCAGCAGCGGCAGCGGCAACAGCTCAGAGATATAAATAGATATAATTTTGTTGTTCGAGTACGGCCCGAACCTAATTACTGCGCCGTCTGGTCAAGTTTGTTGACCTCACGTGGCAGTGTCGGCAGTGTTAATGGTCATCGTCTTCAGCAGCAGCATCGACCGGAGCAGCAGGCAAGTGCGCCTCGCGTCGAAGGCCAAGTCCCCGTGTCAAGCTGGCATCTGCGGGTGCGCGTCCAATCGGTCTCGCCTTCTCAGCGCCTCTCCCCAACCTCCCGCTCCCCTTCCTCGTAGATGCTCTGGGGCAGCAGCCAGTCCGGGCCCTCTGCCTCGGCTCGCCTCTGTGGGCGTCTGCCTCTGGCTCTCTGCTCTCTCTTTCTCTCTGTATCAGTTCTGGATCTCCGCTGGGGGTCGGATTGAATCTCGCGATTCGCAAGAGATCCCCAGTACCGCTCCTCTCTCGCTCTCTCGCTCGCGCTCTCTCCCTCCACGGCTCTGTTCTATTCTCAGCGGTCGAGTAACGGCGGCTGCGCGCAACGAGGCAGTGGGAGGAGGTAGGGAGGGTGGGTGGGTGAGGGAGGAGGGAAGGATGGAGGGAGAGAGAGACGGAGGGGATGAAGGAGAGAGAGAGATGGAGGGAGGAGGGAATTGGAGGGCTGAGCCGTGGGGCTCTTTGCGCTTCCGTCTCGGCACCTATTTGACGTCAGCTCACCGAGCGCAGAGGGGGCGAGGAGGGAGGGAGGTGCAGGATCAGGCATGGGTGGATGAGTGATGGAGAGAGCGCGTGAGTGAGGGAGAGCGAGCGGCGAAGAAGATATGTCAGCAACAGAAAATTCACACGAAGAGACGCTCACGCCGAGGTATACATCTCCGCGTATGCATTTTTGTTCCGTGTGTATCTGCGTGTGTGTGTATATCTGCGTGTGTGTGTGTACCTGTCTCGCTGTGTGTCTGTGTGCGTAATGGAGCGGTGGCGCAGCGGTCAACGCACTGCGCTACGATCCCGACGGAAAGAGTTCGATTCCCGCTCACGGCCAATACCGGTGACGTTTATCTGAACCGGTCCTGGGACTTCCTTAGGTCGACTCAGCCTAAAATGAGTACCCGACCGCCTTTGTCTCCCCACTGGGGAGACAAAGACGGTCGGGCGTTGTGCTGGCCACCCACCCCCTCGTGTGCCGTGCCGGCCTTCAGTAGGTGCTCGTTAAGGGCTCTAGCGAGCATGGGGCGACCTTTGTCTGCGCGTGTTCTTGTGCGCATTGCGCGCGGGATGTGGTGGAGGAGGCGACAGATTCTTTTGTTCAGTTTTACCGCGCGACGCATTCGATGGGCACGTGAACTGCACGCTCCACGCCACCCTCCTCCATCTCATCCCCACCAGCACCGCCACCACCCACCCTCAAATCTCCCCCCCCCTCTCCCTTTCTCACCCGCCTCACCAGACCACGTGACCGGCGCTCTTTAACGATCCCGATTGCCATGCATGTGCTCACACCCGATTCACAATAGCCCTGGATAGAGGGCTAGACGGTGTGCTGGCGCGCGCGCGTGTGCGTGTGTACGTAGTAGAGCGGTAATGTAGCGGTTAACCCGGGTTCGATTCCCGCTCACGGCCAACAGCAGTGACGATTATCTGAACCAATTCTGGGCCTCCCGTGGGTCGACTCAGCTTCAAATGAGTACCTGGTGTGGTGTGTAAACATCGCCACTGGGGAGACAAAGGCGGTCGGGCGTTGTGCTGGCCACCCACCCCCTCGTATACCGTTCCTGCCTTCATAGGTGCTCGCTATCAAGCACTTGTCCCTACAATCTGTTACGACTATACGGGGGATCTTTGTCTTTGTGTGTATGCGCGTCATCAACACCATCATCAACACCATCAGCAACCGCTCTCTGCTGGATGAAGGCATCACCCAAGCCGTCTCCATCCACCACGGCCCAGGGCTGTTGCTGCTGCTGTTGCTGCTGTTGCTGCTGTTGCTGCTGCTGTTGCTGCTGTTGCTGCTGCTGTTGCTGCTGTTGCTGTTGCTGTTTGCTGCTATTGATGTTTGCTGTTGCGGCTATCATCCATCTCACGTGCACTGATCTCACCCATCTCATCTCGGCGGTGGTCGTCCTCACTGACGCCTCCACCCACTTGGCGAGGGCTCGCCCAGCGTGATGTCGGCGTGCCCGCCTGAACCACTCGCCTCCGACAAATCGTAACGGCCTCTATACGGGAGGATCTTTGCATTTGCCTCTCCGTATCGGTATCCGGTGTATGTGTGTGTGCATGCGCCTACATACGGGGAGCGGTAGTGTAGCTACGAACCCGGCGTCCCGAGTTCGATTCCTGCTCACGGCCAACACCAGTGACGATGATTTGAATGGGCCCTGGGCCTCCCTTAGGTCGACTCAGCCCTAAATGAGTACCTGGTGCGGTGTGTAAACATCGCCACTCGGGAGACAAAGGCGGCCGGGCGTGGTGCTGGCCATGCATCCCCCTCGTGTGCCGTGTCGGCCTTCGTCGGTGCTCTCTAACAGCACTTGCAATGTGGAAGATCTGTGTCTTTTGCGCGTGTAATGCGGGGTGGTGAGCGCACTAAAGTGTGGTGGTGAGTGCACCGCACTAGGAACCAGGCGACCCGGGTTTAATTCCCGCTGTGACAAATATCTGAACCGGTCTTGCACCTCCCCGAGGTCGACTCAGCCTTAAACGTTCAGTTGGTGCGATATGTGGTAAGCATCAGCACTGGGGAGACAAAGGCGGTCGGGCGTGGTGCTGGCCACCTACCTACTCGTCGTGTCCGATTCGCATCATCATAGGTGGTCGCTAACAACAACATTTCGTTAGAGGGCTGTTTCAAGGTGGCCATGGTCATAGCGTAGTGTGCTGACCGCCGTGCAACCACTCCACTCCTGTTCATGGACACGTCACAGCCGTCGTTGGCAATCCACTGCTGGATGAAGGGCTTCCCACACCGCGCGGGTCGTTGGGGTTATTTGGCCATACTTCACCACGCGGGTTGATGGAGTGTTTGGTGAAGACGGAGTAGCACAGAGACGTTGGAGCACAGAAGTACCGTACAACCATTGATTTCCCCTCCACCACCGCCCTCTGATGACGACGTGCAACAACCTCCAAGCCCTCTCCAGGCTCCATCCTGCTTAGCTTCTGGAGGCTGTCGAGACCGTGCGCGTGCCGGGCGATCTGGTGTTCAGGCAGTGGATTTGCCAAGGGCTGTAAATTGTCATTCATTATTCATGCATTGCGTATCACGTTACGTTGCAATGCACTATGGATTTTTCATTTCTACGTTAACAAGTGCGTATATTTAATATTAACATTCAGTAAAGGGAAGTGCGTTGGCCCCGCGCTGCGCGTGTGTGTGCATGGGTCCGTGTTGCATGCGATTTGGTTGTACTTGGGTTGAAGGTGGAGGGGTTACCAACCCCTCGCATTCGTCCAGAGCACCCCGTATGGCCGCTGCGGTGGCTACAAAAGCCATGAGGGGCATGGGCGATTTGAAATTGACCCTTGCCCCAATGGCAACGCTCACCACAGCGTGTTACCGTCCGGCACCAACGAGGCGGTAAGGGGGTTGTTTTGCCCGACGTGCACATAGCCTGGCACAAGCGTCGTGGTGACGTCCCCGCCACTTAGTGGCGAATGTCGGTTTTTGTTGTTGTGTGAGTGAGCATTTATCCATCGTGTTTTGCAATGCGTGGGTCTGCGTGCGCATTAATTGGTCTGTGTGTGCCTGCACTTGTGTATCTGCATGTATGTGTGTGCATGTAGCGGTGTATTCGTATGCGTGTATCTGTGTGTATGTGTGCATGTTTCAGATTGCACCTAGCATGGCACAAGCGCCGCGGTGACGTCGCCGCCACTTGGTCAAAGGCGGTCGTTATGTATTTGTGTGTGTACATGGGTCTATGCATGTGTGTGTCCATGTGTCTGTGTGCGTGTGTGCGTGTGTCTGTGCGTATGGGGAGCGGTAGTGTAGCGGTTAGCGCACTGCCCTACTAACCCCGAGACGCGAGCTCGATTCGAGCTCACAGCCAACACCGGTGACGATTATCTGAACCGGTCCTGGACCTTCCCTAAGTCGATTCAACCTCAAATGAGCACCTGGTGCGGTGTGTAACCATCGCCACCAGGGAGACAAAGGCGGCCGGGCGTGGTGTTGGCCACCCAACCCCTCGTGTGCCCGTGCCGGTATTCATAGGTGCTCGCTAACTGCACTTGCCCCAACAGTCTAATGCGGCTATCCAGGGCGGGGGTTCTGTTGTCTTTGTGTGTGTGCAGGACTCGACACTCGACGCGAGCGACTCGAAGCATCGATGCGGGAGTGATTTAAAGCCGAGAGGGACGCGGCTTATAATCGGAGGAATTAAAATAAGACGCGGGCTGAAAGGGGTTCCCGGCTCCTCCACCCGGCAGCCTTTCCCCAAGAGCCCTGGGGGCTGTGTGGTGGAGGGCCGTGAGTTTGTTTAACACAACGCAGCACAGAGGACAAACGCTCGTTACATTAGAGAATATAACGCCAGTAACAGCCATTGGGTGGAATGCTATTTATTTATATATACAGGAGAGCATAGTTGATTCTGAATAATCGTATTTTTTTATAATTATCAGGAATTACCTCTATTTTGGATGCTTGGATGTTTTATTTTTGTACGGAGTGATTTGTTTGGCTTGCTTAAGACTGTCTTATCTAATATCGTTTCAGGTTTCGGTAAGTGGATGGGTGGGTGGATTTGGAGGCTATGGTGAGAGGGTGGGTGAGTCGTGGCTGGGCTAGTGAGTGGGTGGATGTGTCGGGAGGGTGGGTGAGTGAGTGGTGGGTCGTGAGTGGTGGGTAGTGGGTTGGTCAATGGTGGGCAGACTGGTTGGTGGGTGGGTGAGTGAGTGCTTGGGTGGGTGAGTGGTAGGTAAGGCGTGGATGGGTAAATAGTGGGTGAGTGGTGCATAGGTGGATTGATGGATTTTGTGGGTGAGTTGTTGAGTGGGTGGATGATTGATTTCGTGAGTGGTGTATGGGTTGGTGGTGCGTAGGTTGGTGAGTGGGTGAGTGGTGGGTGGATGTCACGGTGGCGTGGCGATTGGGTGGGGTAGTTTAGTGAATAGCATCGCTCTGTAAATCAACTGAATGATGTGTCAGCCAGCGATGTAACTGCACAATTCGTCGGAGGGGGAGGCGGCGTGGGTATGTACTCGGTAAATAATGGATCTGTTGAACCCGGGCAGGAAATTAATTCGGAGTGAGGTTTGCTTTGCGGGTTTTTTTTTACTTTCGCATTAATTTATGCTAATTCAGTCCCTGGGGCTAATGGGTTACTTGCAGAACTGGTAAAGGCATGCGAGTTGTTTTATTTAGTAATTAAACAGTTACGCTTCGATGTTTATTATGTATTTATCTTTCACTCTCTCCGGCTCTGGGACGTCTTCATTGCTCAGGTTTCCCCACGCAACCGAGGGGTGAGCATCGCCGTTCAGTCGGCGACGGGGCAAGAAAGTTGAGTAGGAAGTGTGTGGCCGGCCGACTTGAAAGATGTAGATGCGACGGGGAAGGGGGGGTATTTGTAATGTTTTACACGCATACCATTGCTGAGCAAATAGGCCCACCCATCACTTGCCTCTCATATAATCATAGACTATACAGGAGACAAATAGCACACTTGTAGAAGTTGTAACTCGGTGAATTGAATGGGAGAGCGACAAGTGTTAAGGTCAGGTCGATGGTTGACCCAGCCCATTGATGTTCCCTTCTGAGAATCCACTGCTGGATGAAACCCGCCCCCCCCCGCCCCACTTCACGAGACGTAGTATCAATGTGGTTCCGTCGCAGAGAAAGCAGTGGCAGCTGTTGTTGTTCGTGTTGGAGAACGTCCCGCGGAAGCGGATATCGCAGAGCTACGTCTGAGATCCCGTCTTCAAGTCAAACTCTGTTCCACACAACAGGGGGGTCAGCACCTCACCATTGTTCACCCGCTCTGCCACAGTCAGACCGGTATTTTGAATTAGCAGAGCTGGAATTTAGACGCATTAAGGGCAGAATTTAATGCAATGGGATGGTTCATCCCGTGCAGCCGTTGGTGATCAGGCCCAGGCCACCAACTCGCTCCGCTTGGGAAATCCAGTCGATCCACCTCTTCTCTAGCCCGTGCCGCGCATGCTTACCGCCCTCTATCCGGCCAAACAGGGACACACAAAGATCCACCGTATAGCCTTAGCAGCCTGTTGTGGCAAGTGTTGTTAGCGTGCACCTATGAAGGCCGGCAGGGCACACGAGAGGAGTGAATGGCGAGCACCACGCCCGGTCGCCTTTGTCTCCCAAGTGGCTAAGTTTACACACCGCACCAGGTACTCACTTGATGCTGAGTCGACCTAGGTGAGGCCAACGATTGGTTCAGATACGCATCACTGGTGTTAGCCGTGAGCGGGAATATAATCTACTGAACAACTGTGAAACTATTGGACATCTTCGAAAAATAGGTTTTTGGCTCATCGGATTCCTCCAGTACAAATCAAGATTCTGATTCTGAACACGGGTCTCCGGGTTTGTACCGCAGTGCGCCAACCGCCACACTACCACTCGCCATACGCACAGACACACACACACGGTCCCATGCGCACGCACACACACACACACGCACACACACGCGCACAGATACATGTCCGCGCCGTACCACGCACACGCACGCACGCGCGCGCGTAAGCACTGGCCACTCACTCGACGCGTGCCCGTGCACACATTATGGCGCGCTGATGATGACAAATGAAAGCGAGCGGCAGTACACAGCTGAGCGAGCAGCTACAGCCGTGGCGGCTGGAGGTGGTGGTTGTGGCGGAGGGATGGAGGTGGGTGGGTGGTTGGGTAGGATGGGAGATGACCCAGGGTGGAGGTAAGAAAACCGTGCTGATGCTGGCGGTGTGTGTGTGTGTGTAAGGTCGTTTGTTTATTGAACTGTCTTAATCTGTTGGCACGCTTCCGCTCGGTGGACTCAGCCTCAACACGAGTTACCTGGTGCGGTGTGTGCACGCTCTCACTTGCGCAACAAATCTACATGCACGACGACAAAGATCCCCCGTGTAGCCTGTTACAGACGATTGGGGAAAGTGCGGTTACAGAGCACACACGAGGTGGTGGGTGACCAGCACCACACCCGGCCGCCTTTGTCTCCCTAGTGGCGATATTTTTACGCATCGCACCGGGTACTCATTTGAGGCTGAGTCTACCTAGGGGGAGGCCCAGGACCGGTTCAGATAATCGTCACTGGTGTCGACCGTGAGCGGCAATCGAATAGAACCCGGGTCGCCAGGTTCCGCTCCCCACACAATATAAACACACAACATAAACACACAATATAAGCACACAATATAAACACACAACATAAACACACAATATAAACCCACAATATAAACACACAACATAAACACACAACATAAACACACAACATAAACACACAATATAAACACACACAATATAAACACACAATATAAACACAATATAAACACACAACATAAACACACAATATAAACACACAATATAAACACACAACATAAACACACAATATAAACACAATATAAACACACAATATAAACACACAATATAAACACACAACATAAACACACAATATAAACACACAATATAAACACACAACACAAACACACAATATAAACACAATATAAACACACAACATAAACACACAATATAAACACAATATAAACACACACAATATACCCACACAATATGAACACACACGCGCTCTCGTGATATACTTGAACTCATCAGTATTTCTCTCGCAAAACACTAACGCCCCCCCCCCCTCCTCCCCCCCCCCCCTGTTAAATATCACATCTGAAATCATTTTCAATTTCAGCCGCGACGATGTCGCTATGCCTCACGTCTATTGACCCGGTCCCCCGTCACGTATCGATAGTCGTTATCACTCAGCGAGCCCCCCCCCCCACTCCCACCGAATCCGAGCTGTCCTTTCGGCCAATGTGTCGCGATGCCCTGCAATTCCTTATTATGATGACTACGATGATGAGAATGTGACGCGCGTAGACAAACCCAACGAAACAAATGTTCTGGAGACAAACAAAAAACAAGCAGCTGAGAATGATCTCCGGCCACCAAGTGAGACTCTTCAATCTAACCGGCCGCGTCAGATGTCACGAGCCAAACAAGGTGGTTCAGGAGCCTGCATAATATTTGGACGGGTGACGACCGCGGCACGCCAGGCGTTGTAGGCGGTGGAGGGTGAGGAGGGAGGAGCGGGTTGCGCATTTTGATGTGACGTCACATTTCTCAACCCACCCCCCCCCTCGTCACACATCGTCACAAATGTCTGACCCCCCCCCCAGGTGCGTGACGTCATTTATGGACGGCCCCTTACACGCTAAGAGAATGGCATGGGAACGAGAGAGAGATGGAGGAAAGGTGAGGCGTGTGTGGTTGTGCGTGCAGTGGAGAGAGAGAGATGGAGAGAGAAAGAGGGCGACAATGCAGGGAGATGAGAGAAAAACAGAGCTAGAGATGGGATAGAGAGCATGAGGGGATGAGAGAGAGAGAGTGACGGGAGAGGTAGGGGAGAGGGGGGCATGAGAGGGAGATTAATGTTTACTTGTTTAACTAGGCGAGAACTCGGGAGACCAGGATAGAGGCTCTCTTGCCAGATGGACCTGAAACGAGTCTGCCAGGAGAGGGGGAGGGCAATATTTACTGCTGCTGCTGTGTGTGTGTGTGATACAAATTGAGTCAATTGCGGTGCAATTCTCGAATTCGGAAGACGAAGACTCTGACGCCGCCACACAATGGCCTGCTCTTTGCGAATGACGTCAGGGGATTTTTTTTGCGTTTGTTAAGGCCACTGCGAGGCAGGCGGCGCGTATTGGTTCCCGTTGTTACACAACCGCAGTGATAACCAGGGCGGCCGCTGGATACCGAACCGCTGGGCCAGGTCACCCACCTCGAAAGGGTATTGGGATTTCCCCCCGGGTTCTCCGGTTTCTTCCCACAGCTGAATTCCCCCCACCCCGCCGCCCACCTAAATCTAACTTGGTGTTTGCCAAACATCACAATGCTGAATAATGACCCGCAAATGACTCCCTTAGAATTACACCCGTGGGTATGTTGAACTTCTTTCGCACCGTACGGAGCCAACCGTGTTCATCGGAGGTGCGGCGGGGGGGGGGGGGAGGACAACAAACTAAACACAAAAGCAGTTCTAAAAGAAATGAGTTTGTCAATCTAGATGATGATTTAAAAGTTAATCGCTCCCAGTGGCTTCCTCATATTGGAAGGAATAGCGGTCCAGACGGCCGCGATGCAGCAAAATCGTCCACTACAGAGAAGAACATTGGCAGGGCCTTCCTGAATTGAGCCTTGAGTGAGGCTCTCCTGGCTAAACAGGGTTTTGCATAACCATAAGAACGTGTGAACCCAATACATACAATGTATACAACTTAAAAACAACAAATTATTGCACATGCCATTCAATGCGCGTATCGAGAGCGTAATGATCGATATTAGTTTAATAAATAATCGATATTTAATGTTGTCGTTCCCCGCACCTCTGGTTAGCACGGTTGGCAGCGTACAGCTCGAAAGAAGCTCAACGTATACACACACGAAGTTCAACACGCATTCATTGACGTATCAATGCGTTGCTCCACGTGCATTTCAATTGCCTGTTAGATGGCTGGAATGCGCGGTGCAACATCTGCGACCAAACGGGTTCGTCGAAAAGCGGCGTCCAATGCCTTTCGCCGCCACATCTCTGGCCTCCCCGAGTTCTATTGCACGGGCAACATCAGCGGCGGGTGATCATTGAGACTTGAATCGCTTCCACTTTTCTCCCTTCACCTATAACCCGCAATGACCCGGCACGGTGAGGTTAGGGATCAAAGGACTCTCTCATTGTGTCGGAAGGAATTCAACCGAGCAGCGAATTAACAAAGCGGGGGGGGGGGGGGGGCGGGTTGCTCTGCGAATTAATTCATTGTTAATTGGTCTAATGAACGAATCCGACGATAATGATATGCAGATGCACGGAATTTCATCTTCTAATGGGGGACAAAGCTTTGGAATAATGTGGCGCTCACACAAACACACATGGGGGGGGGGGGGGAGTGTGGGGGTGCAGAGGCGTTTCCACGCACCTGCCAGATCAATGGCGAGCGACTTGCATTCAAATCATTGCGCATATTTACGTCTATCGGAGAGAAACGCGGGCTCCACACAAACCCGAGGGCCGCACTTTGATCATGAGACGATGTCATTCCTCGCCACCTTGGAAACCTTCAGAACGGGCTCGTAATATGGCCGCGTCGAAAGATATAGGACCGCCGAGATGAACGCACGTATGCGTGCACGCGTGTTGGACTTCTTTCGCACCGTACGTATCCAACCGTGCTAATTTTGGAGGTGCTGGGGTTGAAATGCGACAGCTGTGATCGTAGTGCAGCGGCGATAACCACTGCGTCAACGCTCGCCCCCCCCCCTTCCCACAAAGAGATACGAAGATAAAGATCCGCCCCTGTGTAGCAAGTGCTGTTAGCGAGCACCTATGAAGGCCGGCACAGCACGCGAGTCGGTATTGTGGCCAGAGCCACGCTGTCTCACCAGCGCTGGTATTTACACGCACCGCACCAGGGTAGTATTTTTAAGGCTGAGTGGAACTAGGGGGAGGCCCAGGATCGGTCGAGATATTCGTCGCGGACGCTTATGCCGCGAGCGGGAGTCGAACCCCGGGCCCACCGGATTCGCAGGCTCAGCGCCCCAAACCCCGCACCTGCGATGAGCGCGCTTGGGCCACGCACGCCGCGAAAGAAGTTCGACAACTGTGCATTACAAGTACGCGTGGCTCATAACGGTCGTGTCAGATCACCAAAGCTGGTGCCACTGAGATCGCGGTTGAGAACTCGCGATGCGACCGCGTTCACGGGTGCAGTTGCTCAGAGAGCGGCTGGTGTGGGACGGGGGGCGGGGTGGGAGTCTCAGCCTGGCCGACAATGACTGCACCAAAAATAAAAACCACGCAAATCATCGTCGCCTCAAATCCGTTTGTCACATCCACCGATGGGAGCAGCCAAAATCGTCGAGATATATTTGGCTACAGAACACGGTGTGCGTACGATGGTCGCGCAGTTTCCCGTCTTCGGTTCAGAGTTCTTCCCTCAAATCGATCGCAATTTTTTTGAGGGGGGGTAAGGGGGGGAGGGTGGTGGAAGGGAATTCCCGAGAGAAAAAAAAAACATCGTTGGTGCTCCAAAATCGTGGACATTTCCTGCTAAGGGCACATTATTATTTTAACATATAAAATATACGTTTTAGGATGAATAAATGTGCTTGCAATATGTTAACCACTTACTTATGTTGAACTTTTTTCGCACCGTACGTCGCCAATTAGTAAGGAGCGAGGCGTGGAGTTCTTCTGGGTGGCGAATAGAGAGCATTGGCTCCTCATCGGCGGTGGTGGCGGTGACGGTGGGTGAACCAAGTGTCTCTCTCGCGCACACGTACTCACAGACTCCTGCTGCACGTAAAGACGACTTGCAGAGGCCGGCATTCATCGGTAAACAGGCGTCGTTGAAGCAGTAATAATAATGATAATCGCAGCGTTCCGGAAAATATCGAGTAAACAATGAAGCCTTTCGCGTTTTGACCCGTGGATTTGTTTTTATATATACGGCGTTATTATCGTACTTGTTGTTCACCCGAGAAAGCCTCACTGGGTCTCATGCGTCGTTTTCAAGAGGATCCTACCAATCGTATAATTCGCTATATATGTTTTACTCTTTTTGAAAACGCGAACTGTGACTCGTAATAAAGGTGATTACTTTTGTGGTTAGATCGCGTAAATATAAATGTGTCGTTAACCCACCACCACCCGACACAGCCAATTAGTAAGGATTCGTCAATTAGTAACTACTTCAACACACCGGTGTGTTGGAGAGTAAACACACGACACTTACAAATTGGGTGCCGTGACGTTTCGCTGGTAATTACAACCGGCTTCGTCGGGCGATATCGTTAATAATATCGGTCACGATAGCCCACGTGTCACGACGCCTGCACATCCACGGCCTGCTCTCACGTGAGAGCAGGCGACGCTTGTTAATGTTACTGTTTTCGTTTATTTCTTTCTTAGAGTTATTGGACCAGGGCCGCCGTTTGGATTCGAACCGGGAAACCCCCCTCGGCTGGAGTGTTTGGACCGCACAGGGGGAGTTTGTTTCTGCCATCGTCCACGTGCAGAGCCCATGACTCAGCCCAGCCCAAGTCCGCTCTTCCCTCCGGTCGATGTCGCCGCCTCGCGCGCTTCCAGATGCGCTTCTGCGGCCGTCTGGAACGCTCTTCCCTTCAGATGTTCGGAAGCCACTGGAGACTGTGCACTTTTAAATCATCTCGACTGACGCACTCATTTCTTTAGAGCTCTTTTTGTGGTTGGTTTATTGTTCCCCCCCCCCGGCACCACCGATTATCACGGCTGGCTACGTACAGTGCAAAATAAGTTCAACATACATGCGTAACACCAACAACAGCGGCAGCAGCAGCACCACGCATGCTGTCTGGCTTCTTTCTCCCACAGAGAGCCCGCTGCATAGCATGTTTATTTATTTATTATTCTATTTATTTTACAAGGTAGGACCCTCTGAGCTATGAAGTTCTTCTTCAGAAGAGACCTGACTATAAATCACAGCTCGACCAAGTGGCTTATCGTGTGGACATGCAGAGCAGCCGACCAATCTAATCGGGGAGGGAAAACCCGGAGGCCCCGGAGAAAAATCCACGCGACCGCGGGGAGAGAGGGAGAGACACCGCGAACTCCAAATCCACAGCAGGCGTAAGGGGTAGGGATCGAACCCATCGCTCCTTGCACACCACGCGAGGTAGTTAACATCTCGAAATAAACAATTGAGTTATGTAAAAACAAACAAACCCGACTGCAAATACAAATAAATTAATGAATTCGCGCTGCCCGAGTGGCACTGCGTCGTCTTGTTGTTGTTGCAACTGAGGCCCGCAGGCTTCGCGTGCTCTTTTCAGATTTGAGCAAAAGCGACGGCGAGGGATGAGAGGCCCCCAAACCCCCACCCCCCTCCACCCTCAACCGCTCCCACCTCCATCTCTCCCCCCTCCATCGCTCCCCCTCTACCCCTCCACCCCTCTACCCCACCCTCCTCCACCCCTCCCCCCTCCATCGCTCCCCCCCTCCATCTCTCCCCCCTCCACCCCTCCCCCCTCCACCCTCCACCCCTCCCCCCTCCATCTCTCCCCCCTCCACCCCCTCAACCGCGCCCCCCTCAACCGCTCCTCCCTCCACCCCTCCCCCCTCCATCCCTCCCCCCCCTCCATATCTCCCCCCTCCACCCCTCCCCCTCCACCCCTCCACCGCTCCCCCCTCCAACGCTCCACCCCTCCCCCTCCACCCTCCATCTCTCCCCCCTCCACCGCTCCCCCTCCACCCCTCCCCCTCAACCCCTCCCCCCTCCATCTCTCCCCCCTCCATCGCTCCCCCTCTACCCCTCCCCCCTCCACCCTTCTCCAGAACCCGCCCCCCCCAACCTTGCCCCTCCCCCACCCCCCGCCGCCCCGACCCCCACCACCCAACCCCGCGACGTCCATCCTCCGCATACCCCCCCCCCCCGAAATACCCGGGACCATGCACACCGCACAGAGCCCTATAGCAGCGTGCGCTCTGTTTCAATGGCGAGATCCAACGCTTTGATGCATCCATCCCCTCTCCACTCCCCCTCCACTCCGAGATTGGAGGGTGGGGGGGGGTTTGAGGACAAGTTTACCTCTTAAAGCGACCTCAACTGCAACACACGGGCCAGCCTGGTGGCCTCTCTGCCTCCTCCTTTGTCAGGGCCCTGCCCACTTGTAACATATCCACGCCCACTCAATCACTAGCCCCGCTCACAGACCACGCCCATCCCTCGAGTAGCTCCGCCCATCGATCGGGTAGCTCCGCCCAAACCCGAGGTAGTCCCCGTCCCCCTTTGCCACCAATCCATGGAGGCCAGAAAATGTTAAACTCGGGACGATATCCAGATTTCACCGCAAAATGGTTTGGTTAACCGAGGCGCGTGTTCGCTTTAATAGACGTTCTAAACAACGTAACTGGTATTGGCCAAACATGCCAGCGCTAATATATATCACCTGCCAAAATGTACTCAATTTGGGATTACACACGGCAAGATCGCTCCTATACTGCGATAAACGTGAGCTTCATGGTCCATCAGATTGCTCCAGAAAGAAAATAAATAAATACAGATTCTGATTGTGATTCTGAAAAAAAGTTTTGGGACTCGGTGAGCCCCCCGCCCCGCCCCCCTCCCCCCCAGTGGCAGTTGTTACTCATTTGAGGCCGAGTCGACCTAGGGGAGGCCCAGAACCGGCGGTTCAGATATTCGCCAATGTTATTGATCGTCTATTGATCGTGAGCCGGAATCGAGGCACCGCTTTTCCCAGCGGCAGCTGCCCCTGTGCGGCAACAGTTTGACTCGGCCTGTAAAGTCGGAATTCGTGCGCCAATAGGGGGCGACACTTGCCGCCAGGTGGACTCACAATTGAGTGATTTACGCATCGTTTGAAGCCACGCCAGCTAAAGGCAATAAATCGTATCGGACAACATACCCAGGTACATTCCATTATTCGAACCGTTAATAATTCAGACGGGCGCGCGCGCACACGGAACCACGGAGACACGTGTCCACAGACACGTGCACACGTGCTGCGTACATACAAAGATAGCCCCGTGTAGCCTTCACAGACTGTTGGGGCAAGTGCTGTGAGCAAGCACCTATGAGGGCCGGAACGACACAGGGCAAGGTTGGTGGCCAGAACCACGCCCGGCCGCCTTTGTCTGCCCTGTGGCGATGTTTACTACACACCGCAACAGGTACACATTTGAGGCTGGGCCGACCTAGTGAAGGCCCAGAATCAGTTCACATGTTCACGGTTCGCCGGGTTCGTAGCGCAGTGAGCTGACCGCTGCACCACAACCCGTCCCCAGACAACCCCGCGTGACACAACAACAACAACCACCACTCGACACTAAGTAGCGGTGACGTCACCACGGCGCTTGTGCCAGGCTATGTAACACACACACGTGCACATACAAACGAGGGTTGCGATCAGACACACGGTGCAAATGCTCACGCATGCACACGCCTACACAGACACACACAACAAAGACACAGATCCCCCGTATAGCCTTAACAGACGGTTGGGGCAAGTGCTGTTAGCGAGCTGCACCTATGAAGGCCGGAACGGCACACAAGGGGGTGGGTGACCGGCACCACGCCCGGCCGCCTTTGTCTCCCCAGTGGCTATGTTTAGTACTAAATACGATCGACACGTTTGGCTGAACACGTTGTGAAATTAATTTAGCATACAGTACATACATACATTTGAGTCTGAGTTGACCTAGGGGAGGCCCAGGACCGGTTCAGATAAACTTCAATGGTTGGTCGTGCGCGCGCACACACACACACGCGCCCGGGCGCGCGCATTCACGTGCCTCTCCCTTCATCAAACATTTAGCCTTCGCGCTATTGCGCAACAAAGAGGACGAGACAAAGACAAAGATCCCCCGTGAAGCCTTAAATATACTGTCGGGGCAAGTGCCGTTAGCGAAAGCCGGAACGGCACACGAGGGGGGTGGGTGGCCAGCTCCACGCCCGAGCGCCTTTGTCTCATTTGAGGCTGAGTCGACATAGGGAAGGCCCTGGGACCGGTTCAGATATTCGTCACCGGTGTTGGTCGTGAGCGGGATTCGAACTCGGTGCGCCGGGTTTCGTAGCGCAGCGCTACCCGCTGCGCTGCCACTCGCCACACGTGAACGCGCGCGTGGTGTGCGAGGCGTGCGTGCGCGCGTGCTTGTTTCGTGTGTGTGTGTATGTTTCGTGTGTGTGTGTTTCGTGTGTATGTTTCGTGTGTGTGTGTGTTTCGTGTGTGTGTTTCGTGTCCGTGTGTTTCGTGTGTGTGTGTTTCGTGTCTGTGTGTTTCGTGTGTATGTTTCGTGTGTGTGTGTGTGTTTCGTGTCTGTATGTTTCGTGTGTGTGTGTGTGTTTCGTGTGTGTGTGTTTCGTGTCCGTGTGTTTCGTGTGTGTGTGTTTCGTGTGTGTTTCGTGTCCGTGTGTTTCGTGTGTGTTTCGTGTCCGTGTGTTTCGTGTGTGTGTGTGTTTCGTGTGTGTGTGTGTTTCGTGTGTGTGTGTTTCGTGTGTGTGTGTGTATGTTTCGTGTGTGTATGTTTCGTGTATGTGTGTTTCGTGTGTGTGTGTGTTTCGTGTGTGTGTGTGTTTCGTGTGTCCGTGTGTTTCGTGTGTGTGTTTCGTGTGTGTATGTTTCGTGTGTGTATGTTTCGTGTGTGTGTTTCGTGTGTGTAGGCGTCTGCTCGAGAGAGAGAGAAACATTACCCCGTGGAAAAATCATTCATTGACGACACAGATTAAGGGGACACTTGTTTGATTGAAGACAAGAATGAGTCGTGGAAGTTTTTTTTTAAAGACAAACCGGCATCATCACCCACCCAATCACATCCCTCTGAGCCTCCCACGAGCCCAAAAATAAACGTGCCGGTATGAATAGACGACACGCACTTAAATGACGTCACGCGATTTTGGACGATTTCTGACCCCCTCCCCTCGTCACATGGCGTCACAAAAAGTCAAACCCCCCCACAAATATGACGTTACAAAGCTCTGCCCCCCCCCAAACCATGTTTCCCTTTTGAAAATAAAACATGCTTCAAATCGCTTTAAACTATTGTCATTGTAGTGCGTATTTTAATGTGGCGCTGCACTCTGATATTGTAGGAGAAAACATTTATTAAAAAGTCAAATTAATTAAGTAGAACGTGTTGTTTATATTTATTTAAAGTTGCGCATTTTTGATGTGACGTCACATTTCTCAAACCCCCTCCCCCCTCGTCACACATCGTCACAAATGTCTGACCCCCCCAGGTGCGTGACGTCATTTATGGACGGCCCCTTACACGCTAAGAGAACGGCATGGAAACGAGAGAGAGATGGAGGGAAGGTGAGTTGTGTGGTTGTGCGTGCAGTGGAGAGAGAGATGGAGAGAGAAAGCGGGCGACAATGCAGGGAGATGAGAGACAAACAGAGCTAGAGATGGGATAGAGAGCATGGGAGGATGAGAGAGAGAGTCACGGGAGAGGTAGGGGATAGGGGGGCATGAGAGGGAGAGAGAGAGATAGGAGAGGTGTGGGAGAGCTAGGAGATTAGCAAAGTAATAGAGAATGTATAGGTGGGTGAAAGAGAGAACGAGAGAGAATACGGGGAGATAACAGAGAGAGAAAGGGGGAAAAGTATGTATATAGAAAACAAGGGGAACATAGACATAGAGTAGGGAGAGAGGGGGTAGAGAGAGAGGGGGGGTAGAGAGAGAGGGGGTAGAGAGAGAGGGGGGGTAGA